AAACTACTTTCCCAAGTGATTCCACCTTTTTCTTGCTATTATGTTAACCTTGTGGAGTAGGAAAGGTCCAATATAATTATCCTCCTCTACAGCTGAAGGAGTTGAGGCACAAGGTGTTTGAGAGTTGCTGTGCTGAGGCACAAGGTGTTTGTGATTTACTTAGTAAATCACAGCTCAGAATCAGATATTCTTGATTACTAGTTCAGGTCTCTGTTATACCTTGGGGCCTTCTTTTTCAGCAATATTTGTCAGTGGTTTAGATAGATAAAGCTATGCCTCCAATGTTACAAGGGCAAGTCTTCGGTAGATTTCATTGGTGTCCAGTAAAACAGCAAGTAACAGTCTTGGATTTTTTTCTTCAATTTAAAATGAATGTCAAGTTGTATGTTTTTATTGTTTTAGCAGCACAAATTCACCTAAGTGTAGCTCTTAACATTTTTCAAAGTGAAAAGGAAGGTGGAAGTCTGGAGCAAAACAATAAATGCCCAAGAAAAATAATGACAAAGGAGCATCATCTTTTTTTGTTTGGGTAGTACTGGGGTTTGAACCCAGGACCCACAAGCTTAGCTAGGTAAGTGCTCTACCACTTGAGCCACTCCAGCAGCCTGGAGCATCTTCCTTAACCATTAGCTTATCTCCAAGCAGACTACTCAGCCTCTGGGTTGTACAGGGACTAACCAGACACACAGCTCTTCTGTCCCATCTTGTATTTTAGAGTGGTGGGGCACAGAGTCAGCAGGTTGGAAGTAGAAATTTAAAAATAGCTGGGTATGCCAAGTGGTTGTGGTGCATGTCTATAATCCAAGCTACTTGGGAGGTGGAAGTAGGAAGATCACCATTCAAGGCCAGCCCAGGCAAAGTTATTGGGAGACAGTATCTGAAAAACAAAATAAAAGCAAAAAGGCCTTGGGACATAGCTCAAGTGGTAGAGCACTTGACTAGCAAGCTCAAGGCCCTTAACTCCCCAGTACCAAAGAGGAAAGAAAAAAAGCTGGGTATTCTCAGCCCTGGGGAGCCTGAGGCAGGCGAATCACAAATTTCAGGCCAGCTTTGCACTGTGGCAGTATCTAAGCCAATGAGGTTTATCTGAGGTGCAGTTATTGCTAACTGAAAACTTCTCCCGCAAATTCTAGGCCAGCCTGGACTATATAACAAGGCACTGTCTCAGTCATACCCCAGGGCTCATGCCTATAATCCTAGCTACTTGGGAGGCTGAGGTCAGGAGGATTGTGGTTCAAGGATAGCCAGGGCAAAGAGCTAGTGAGACCCCCATATCCAAAATAACAGGAACAAAATGGACTGAAGCTGAGGCTCAAGCAATAGAGTGCCTGCATTGCAAACATGAAGCCCTGGGTGGTTCTAAACCCCAATTCCACTTAAAAAAAAAAACAAGAACTGGAAGTGCTCTGCACAGAATGAGTGGTAACAATTTTTTAATAGCATTTCCAGCTTCATCACCTTTGAAAGAAATGGTTTTTCATTAGGGATATGGAAGACTCATCAGTCCTACTGGTACTGCCAATTCTTAAGGTCTTCCCTTTTTTTGTGGGGTGGGGGCTACCAGAGAGAACTGAGGGCCTCATGCACATAAGGCTCATGCTGCACACGGACATGTATCCTCACCTGTTACTGTCTTTAACACATGCACGGGAGAAGGAAAAGGCTACTTCTGAAAATACTACTAAAATCACAAGTGAAATGAAGCATTGGTGTAGGAAGCAATTAGAAATTTTTTCTATGGATGGGTGATCTCACTATCTTGCCCAGGTTGTCTTGAGCTCCTGGGTGCAAGTGATCCTCATGCCTCAGCCTCCTGAGTAGCTGGGACTGCAGCCAACCACTACTGCACCAGGCTCCAGATCTCATTTTTCAAGAAAAGAAATAACTGCCTTTTCTGTCACCTGACCCTTTTTTGTTTTCATAGTCTGTCTTATTGTACATATTATTCCTTCAGGGTTGTCAGATGGTGCTTCTGAAACCTGACCTATCATATAATCAGTGTCTTTCTTCAGTTTCCAACAAACAAGCTGTGGTTGAACCTGTTCTGGACTTTCCACTTGCCTGGTCATGTTGACTATGGCTAGTTCCATTCATTATCTCATTAATGAGTAACAAGAATCCTCTGCCTCAGCCCATAATACTAAATAATGGTATTTGCTAAAATAATTGCAACTTGTCCTAATAAAACAACCTCCAACAATGCCACTCTGATCACTACACCACCCCAACTTCAGCGCTGGCATTTTGACAGTACTATGAATGATAATACACTTAGTGTAAATATATTTGGATACCAATTAGGATGGTATTAAAAAAAAGAAGAAGAAAAATGCTGGGCACTGGTGGCTCACACCTGTAATCCTAGCTACACAGGAGGCAGAGATCAGGAGGATTGTGGTTCAAAGCCAGCCCAGGCAAATAGTTCACAAGACCCTAATTGGAAAAACCTTTTCACAAAAAAAGGCTGGTGGAGTGGCTCAAGGTGAAGACCCTGAGTTCAAGCCCCAGTACTGCAAAAATAAAACTTAAAAAAAAAAGTTTGTAAGAATGTGGAGAAACTGAAGCACTTCCACACTGCTGGTGGAAATGTAAAATGGTATAGCCACAATGGAAAACCATATGGCAATTCCTCAAAAAAATATGAAGAATTCCCATATGATCTAGCAACTCCACTTCTGAATAGATGCCCAAAAGAAGTGAAAGCAGGGACTCAGATATTTGTATTCTCATGTGCATAACTGCACTATTCACAATAGCCCCAGAAGGTGAAAAGCAACCTAAGCGTCTATTAATAAGTAAATGATGAAAAATGTGCTGTATACATATATTTCTTTGAAAAAAGACAATATTGGCACATGCTGCAATACCAATGAACCCAGAAGATATTATGCTATATGAAATAAACCAGTTGCAAAGGGACTATGCAGAATGATTTCACTTACATGAGGCACCTAGAGTAGTCAAATTCAGACACACAGAAAGTCCAGTGTGACTGCCAGGGACTGAGGAGGGTGTAGTTAGTGGATACAGACTCTCAGATGGGAAAGATGACAACCTTCTGGAGGTGTGTGGTGGTAATGGTTGCACAACAATGTGAACATGCTTAATGCTATAGATTGCACACTTAAAAGTGACTGAGGGACTGGTGGAGTGCCTCAAGTGGTAGAGCTCCTGTCTATCAAATGTGAGACCCTGAGTTTAAGCCTCAGTACTGCCAAAAAAAAAAGTGGCTGGAATGGTAAAATTTATGTTATGTATTTTTTTAACCAAATTAAAAGAAATACAGGACAGTGGGTAGCATTACATGGAAGAGATAAAAGATAACTTGCTTAATGCTTTGCTGGTGGACTGTACATTCTCTTCCCTTAGATAAGACAGATTTTACAAAGGGAGACCTTCAGAAAAGGTTGTTGTTATTTGGGGACTGCATCTTCAGTTGATTATCAAAGTTGCCTGTGTCAGGGATTGAAGTCTTTTTACAATGTTGGGATGTGTATGTAGTCAGTTTCCCATCACTGTGATAAAATACCTGAAATAAATCAACCTGAAAAGAAGAAAAATTGGGATTGGAGGGAGAGTACCTGCTTTGCAAGCCCAAAAGCTCTGAGTTCAAATCCCAGTCCCACCAAAAAAAAAGTTGAAGAAGAAAGATTTATTTTGTACACAGCTTCAGATGTTTCAGTTCATCATTGCTTAGCCTTATCTCTTTGGGCCTGTGGAGAGGCAGAACATCATGGTGGGGAGCTTGTGGCAAAGCAAAGCCACTCACTGTATGGGGTCCCAATTATCCCCTTCAAGGACACATTCCAAATGATCCAACTTCCACTAGGCCCCACCTCCTAAACTTTCTGCAATCTCCTGATAGCAACCATAGGCATACCACCATGTCTTTAGTATATGGGCTTTAGGGGAGATTTAAAATTCAAATCATATTATGAGGTATACCTTAGCTATTCCTACAGGGATTCTGCACTCTGCCTCTGAGAGTTTTAGACATCTAGCAACTGTTCACGGAGCTAAATCAAATGATCTGAGTTGCCTTCAGTAATGATTTGAAAGTCTGAGCCAGTCCTTCCACTACTCAAAGATGGGGATTATCTTTTAAAAACTGAATTTAACACACTTAAAGAGCACTTGCTGCATGCCAGCGACTGTTTTAAAAGGCTTTTCATATTTCAACTCATTAATCCTAATAAGTTTATGAGGTAGGTAGTATTGTTCCCCATTTTACAGATGATAAAACTGAGGTGCCATGAGGCAAAGGTACACAATTATTAATTAACAGACATAGAATTCCAACCAAAACACCTTGTGGCCCCAGAGTTCATGCTTCTAGTCATTATGCACCTCTTTTTTCGTGAAATAGTGATGTCAGCGACTAGTACTTTAATGACCCTGAAGTGGCTCTCAAGGACCAGACTGGAGAATGGAAATTGGAGGTGAAGATATTTCTAGATATGATCCTGACTCTCTACTCCAGCAGCTGGTGTGCCCTTGTGGGCTAACGTTAAAGCCAGGGTAAGGGGCTTGTAGCTATAAGGTCAAATTTTTTGAACCTAAGGATTTCCCTCCAATTCTGAAGCAGCCCCTTAATGACGAATCTGCTGCCTGTCTCACGGGTTTTGTAACTAGTGGATTTTCTAGGTGATCAAGGCAAGCGAACATGAAACGCCCTTACACGAACACTGAGCGACGCTGAACCCAATATAAATCTTTTTTTCTAGCCGTTCCAACATAACACCCAAGACGAATCCGCAACTCTGGCGTGGAAGCCAGGGGGCGGGCTCAACAGCGACCATTTTTGTTTTGCGGCCGTGCGCTCTCAAAGCATCTTGACTAACAGGACCCCACGGAGGAGGCGGAGCCTATTCGAGAGCGGGGCGGGGCCGGAGAGACGTGATGATTTAAATGGACTAATGAGTAGGGCGCATCTGGCAGAAGTCGCCAATGAGCGGGCGTGTTGGGGCGGAGCGCACAAACCCCAGTGGGCTTGGTTGCATCGCGGCTTTGGCGCATTTTCGGCTGGTTTGATTCATCCATTTTGAAGAGACGGGGGAGCGGGGGGCTCGTCTGATCCAAGGACCCCGAATCAAGAAGCGGCGGAGTTTGAGACACCAGCAGCTAGGGGCTCGGCGGTAGCGGCTCCATCGGCCGAAGTTCGGGGGGGGTGGGGCGCCGAGCGCGCGGGGTGGGGGGGGGTCCTGGTCTTTGGCTTCTCGACTCGGTCCTGTTTCGACAGCAAACATGTCTCGGCCTGTCAGGTCAGTGCGGAGCCCGAGGCCTGGAGCGGGTTGGAGGGGTTTGGGGGCGGGGGGTAAGTGGCGAAGGAGTGTGGGATCAAGCTTAAGAGTTGGCTCTCCCCGGTGCCACGCGCGGCCTCCTCCGTTTCGGGACCCGCGCGCGCCCTGGAGCGTGGGGGGCCAGCTGGCGCGCGGGGTTGTCGGCTGCGCGCCCGTGCGCGCGCCCCTCCCCGCCCCGAGCCTTTGCAGGGCTCCGGTCTGCTCTGCTACCTCCCCCACCCGCCGCACTGGAGCGGGCGGGGTGTTCCCAAACCGCCAGGGCCGGAGGGGGAGGGGTATGAAGTCAGCGCCTCCGAGCAGGCCCCACCTCCTCGGGGCCGGCCCTGGAGCCCGCAGGGGAGACGGCCGACCTCGCGCTCCAACCCCGCGCCTTCGGTGGGGAGGGGCGGACGCGTCGCGCGGCCCCTTTCGCGATCTGCGTGCGGGTGGGGGCGTGCGGCCTCGTTCTCCAGTGGACCGGTGTGTTCTGTGCAAGGGGGAGGAGCAGCACTCTGTCCGCGGGGCCGCTGCTGACCCCGCCTCCCGGGCCGGGCGTGGGCGGGACCCGTTCTTTACTGGCAAAAGGGAGTTTGAGACTGGACCCCGGAGTAGAGTGGACTGCTGTCTCTTCCCCCCCCCCCAAGTTGTCTATCGCCTCGGATTAGAAATGTCCTTCCTTAGAGGAAAATGTCCGTACCCAGGGAGGTGCGGGTTAACTGCACGACCCAAATCCCGTGTGGTTCTCGTTCCACCTTCACCCGGCGTGTACGTCTCGGGTGTTTCCGTAAGCCTTTCCCCCGAGTGTCTGATCATAAAGGAAGTAGGTGCCGCTAACCATGCTTGAGCCACATAATTTCAACAAGTTTGCTGCCACCCCCCCCCTCCCCGCAGCGGTCTGTGGGCTCGCCCTTTGCAACCCTCCCGGCGATGGTATGGAATGTGCCATTTGAGGAGGAATGCGCTTTACTCCAGTCTTTTGAGGCCTTAAAGAGGAGAGCTGTTGTAAATACTCTTAATGTAAGGAGTGGCTGCTTTTGTATAGAGTTTTCTAACTAGATAAAGATTGAGTTTTTGAATGTTTTTACAGTTGTCGCTTCCCTTTCGTTCCAAGTTTTATGGGCAACAAACGGGACGTATCTTACAAGAGTTCCAAAGAGTGCTTTGGAACCTGGGAAGGAGGGTTTTGTTGCTCACGGTTCTGTCTCCTAACCAGATGATCCGTTTACCCCTGGGGGTCTTGTGAGACTGCATATCCTACGCACTGGGTGGGAATGGGGACAGTGAGCTGGCTAGCTGAGTGCTTTTCTGCGCTCCAGTTTCAAGCCGTATTTCTGTAAACCATCTCGACTGTGAAAGTTCTGTTGGCCTTTGGGCAGAAGTTAGGATGGCTCTTTCAGATTATAGTTCGAATAGAGTTTTTTGGCATAACAGTTGATGAGTCCATCCCATTGGTTCAGGAAATTTTCTTTAGGATTAGGTAACATAGACATTATTATAAGGACTTCTTTTATTTGGAGCTTTTGTCTCCTGGAAGTAATTACTGTGTGGTAAAATCAAATTACTATTTTTTTCTCTTTTAGTTTTGATGACTTTATTTTACTGTAGTCACTTTCTTATATGTCTGAGTTTGTGGTCCCAGAGTTTCTGGAATGTGAACAGAACTTTTTTTTTAAAACTGGAAAACTTGGGTTTTTAATGTCACCATGTGGGGATAAATATGTTATTAAGCACATGTCATTAGTTTTTTGGAGGCATTTTCTTTTCTTTACTCGATATGTTAAAAATAATTTAAACTTGTTTATTGCCCTTAATTGAAAAATAAAGACTTCTTTTTTTTGGTCACTTTCAAGTTACTAATTTCAGAGCAATTTGGTTTCTGGTTATAGTTTAGTGATAAAGTCTCTTTGTAACTATTTTTAAGAAGTCTTTGATATTCTCATAATCAATAATAAAGCAGAAATAATTAAACTTGAGTTTGGTGGTTTCTTAAATTTTTCAATAAAAAGTCTTGACTAAGGAAAATGCTATTGTTTGAAAGTATAATTGAAGACTTAATACTTACAGCATTTGACAAAAAATTACTGACATTAACTTGGTTTCGAAATGATCAATCTTGTTTAAAAACAAGCACATGTTGGAAAGATCATTGTCTTCTTTTGGCCCTTAGGCCTCTATGATTTTACCATTTTTCTGGTTCTCATTTTTACTATAAATACACTTTGTGTGTCCGTGGGGGTGCTGGGGTTTAAAGCCTTGATCTCATATTTTGCAAGCACTCTCACTTGAGTCACACCCCCACTAAATATTCATTTTTATTTTAATAGGAACCTAACATTTAAAGAGCAATTGGAAATGTACTAGTAGTTCTTTGACACTAATTTCTAAATGAAGCATACGATGAGCTGATTGGCCACAGCATGGTTGTCTGTGAACATCTGTCTAGCACATTATTTCTTTTCTATTTTTTTTTAATCTATGTTTTTTGGTTTTTTTGATTTTTTTTTTTTTTTGGTGGAACTGAGTTTTGAACTCAAGGCCTTGTGCTTGCTGGGCAGGTGCTCCTACCACTTGAGCCACACCTCCAGCCCTCTTTTCTATTTTTATTTACCTATTTACTTCTGATGGTGGGGATGAAGCCCAGGCACTCATACATGCTAAGTAGGTGTTCTACCATTGAGCTACATCTCCAGCTAGCACATCATTTCTAAGTAAGTTTTTTCATACAAGGTTTTTAGTGTGTATGACAGCTCAAGTATTTTAGACTTTAGATTAAAATTAATAGCATAAGAGTATAGTCCTGGGGCTAGGAAAAAAGTGAAGTAAACTCAGTACACAAGGGACCTGGACAAGTGAGGTACCCTGTAACACACACTAGCAGGTGTCAAGTTGAGACTAGAACCTGTTTTTACTAGTTTTGAGCCTTGTTCGTTCCCTTGCCACCAAAGTAATTTTCTGCTTGATAAATAGTAATAATGTTGATTTGGTGGCATTTTTTTAACCTTTCAGAGTGGTTTCATGACTCAATCCTTGTGAGGAGGCAAAATGTCATTACTAACAAAAGATGAGAAAGTTTAAAAGGTTTGTTGACTTGCTTGGGTTAGAAACCAGGTTTCTTGATCAAGGTTAGTATATTCTCTAGGGAGGGATCCTGCTCCTTTATTGAAAGTGATCCAAGTTATTGCAGATCAATCTATTTGTTCCTCTTTGTAACATAAGTGTGCTTGATATCTCATCTTTTGTTCAATGCTGGAGAACACAAAGAACCTTTGCCATTGAAAATTATTGATTAAAAGCTTAGGCTCTTAAAGGTTTATGATTATGGTGAGAATTAACAGTTTTCTCAAGATTCTAGATTGTTCTAGGATAATTGGGATGTATCTGAATTTTTTAAATATTCTTTATTAGCAAAAAAAATTTGTTCTCAATTCAGAGTAGCTTGGAATTTGTCATCAAGTGAGTACAGGAGGACACTTAAAATTTAGTGTCCTAATAAATGTGGTATGAGCCTGTTTTCTTATATCACACTGTCTTCCAGATGTGTGTGCATGCAAGAGAAATGTGATTTTTATTAACTTCAGATCTGTCACTTTCCTATAAAATATAAAATCTCATCTTTAGACTTTATCTTAAAAAACATTATCAAAGATAGATGTAACAAATTACAAAACCCGTGTAATGGGAGGAGTAAGTTTTATAAGAACATAAAGTATTCAACTTTTTCTCAACATACACTTCAGCTGAAAACTGGAATAATGCAATGTTTAAAATGTGGGCTTTCATAATAGCTTACTAGGAAAAATTAAGTCAGGCACTGTGGTAGAGACTTTCATTTTGTTTTAGTGAGATTACTTGTAATGTATATTATTTTTTTATTCCTCCAGAATAATAACAGATAACAAAACAAGCTTAACGCATGTTACTCAAAGTATTAGAATTTTAATAGCAGAGCCAAGATTTGAACCTAGATAAATTAAAGGGCAAAGCTAGCATTCTTTCATGGTACCACTCTTTCCTGCCTGGTATTTGCCATTAAAATGGTCTGGTTAGGGCTGGAGATGTGGCTCAAGTGGTAGAACACCAGCTTAGAAAGCACGGGTCCTGAATTCAAACCCTAGTACTTCCAAAAAATATTTTCTTTTTTTTTATTTAGTGAGTACATGCTTTATTTTTAATTTATTTTTTTCTGTTCTGGGGATTGAACCCAGAACTTTGTGTATGCTAGGCAAACCTGACTACATTCTGGGTTTTTGTTTATTTTGCTTTTTTTTTTTTTTAATTGTACTGGACTGGGGGCTGCATTCTACTTGTTGTTTTTTCTTTTCTCCTTCAGTTAGAGTCTCTCTGTTTAACCCAACTCATCCTAGAACTCATGATCCTCCTGCCTCTGCCGCTCTTGAGTGTTGTGATTACCGAGGTGTGTCACCATACCTGGCCTGATTGCATTTTTTATACATAGGTTTTTACCACTATATAGAGAATATTTAGAGAGAACATGACCAAAGTGTTTTCATATGAGCACTTTTGTTTAGTACAATACTTTAAATATTTTTCATAAACTGGGGGCACGGCTCAAATGGTAGAGCACTTGCCTAGCAAGCACAAAGCCCTGAGTTCAAATCCTAGTACTGCCAGTATTTTTTTCAGAGAAATTTTAAACTAGTATTAAATTTAAAAGGCTGGTGCCTTACGCCTGCAATTCTGCAAATCGGGAAGCAAAGATCAGGAGGATGGAGTTTGCGACCAGTTGTGGGCAAATAGGTCGGGGGACTCTATCTTGAAAATACCCAACAGAAAAATAGGGCTGGGAGTGGCTCAGGTGGTAGAGTATCTGCCTAGCAAGCCTGAGGCCTTAAATTCAAACTCCAGTGCTGCTTAAAAAAAAAAAAAAAAATTAGGATTTCAAGGACTAAGTCCAAGTCCAGTTCTTCATAGCTCTGATACCCAAGGAGAGAAAGTGTAGAGGTTAATAGCAAGGCTGGATT